TAAAACACAAAATATAACCTATATCCTCTTTCGACATCGGAACGGCATGCTGTACTGCCATACTTGACCAGCACGTGCTGGACAACCCCGGTTAAAAAAAAAAAAAATCAAATGGCATACAGTTGTTATTTGCGCCAAAAGAGGAGGTGAAGGAGAGTGCATACAACAGGACCAGGTATGACTCCCGAAAGCCTTCATTAACAGGCAACCGTCGGCGCGCACCGCTGGCTCCCGAACGACAACCTATAGTTCCCCGTGTGGTCCTACAACGTCACGGGGCAGATCACAATGTACCGAAGAATAGAGCAGCGGGCGTATGACGTCACGACTTAGCACACCAGCCTATAGATAGACTATCGAATGTGATAAACCTCCTTATCTTGCGATTATTTCAGCTACCTTAAGGGCTCCATCGCAATCAAAGAGGGCTAAGCACTCAAAACGACGCACCCTTAGAAGAACAACCTCAATACTTTAATGAAAGAGCACATTCTACTTCGACCATATTGTCATTAATTAGAACAAGGGAATGATTGTTAAACCGAAAATTAACGTTTTATGATGCGATTTTATGCTTACAAACTAAAACAGAATGTATCATCATCCTGCGTCAACGACGGGGGGGCACTGTTTTGGAGCGGAGTGGTTCCGCTCCTTTTATACGCGTGGTGCGCTCAAGAATGTTCCCAGCCAAAACACTCAATAAAAGTCGAGAATGGACTGAAAGTTGCAAGAAGAGTGCAGAATTACAGAAGAAAAATGTGGGACAAGTGGCGTTCGAACCTGGTTCTTCTGTGTGGCAAGCACTTATGCGTTGTCAACTCAGCCACGCACGTTTAGTTTTCTTTATTGCCGGTTTCTGACAAGACAGAAACACAAAACCAAACCCGTACAAACTAAGACAAAATGCACTTATAAGGTTGACTCTAGCCTTTGACTAGCATTGCAGAGTTAAAATTCGACACGCTGCAACTCAGGAACGACCTGCTAGGCCCTGTGCACTTAAAATAAGAAAATAACACTCTTCCGAAAACACTGCCGGGTCTCACGCACGTTGCTGTCGCTATGGCGCAGAGCTATCCGAGTCCTCCAAATGCTGTGCAAGCCCAGCACCATAACGAACGGAGCGCCGTCCTTCTTTTTTAAAGCCAGGTACCGAATCCCATAGGCGTCTAGTGCCAAGCCTTTCTTCAAGGTACATTGTAAGACGTCCTAAAAACATATGCCGTCCCAACGCTTCAAAAAGACATGTTCAATCGCTTCCGTTTTTTTTTTTTTTTTTTTATAGAAAAAGACAATGAACATTGCACGGGACGAACGGGTCCCTGTCCTCCATCCATATCTTAACAGGTAGAATTTTCGTATGTAGTTCAAAGGAAAAGGTCTTAACTCCAGGTGGCACTAACATCCTCCCAACCCGCTTAAAGATGTTCTTACCGGGGCGTTCACACTACAAAGCTCTGTGCAAGGGAACTGAAATTAACAACATCGCAGACATCCTTATATACAATTTTGTTTCTCGTGTCACTTCCCGTAAATATTAAAACAGCGGGCTACCACAAATCGGCACGATGCAACTATAGTTCTTTAAGGTAACCATAGGGGCCTCCTGGCATATTAGATGTAGAAAAAAACAAACCCAAGCAAAAACCGGCCCAGTTTTTCTTGGCAGCAGGCTGAGACAGTACGCAGAAAAGATTCACTAACATCGCACGAATAAATCGAACGATCTCCAGCTTGGCGGAAGAACATGTGCGACAGGACTCAAAACTAGAAGCGTGAGAGATAAGACGCGCAAAAAGAAAGGGAACGGAAGCAAGCGACGTTTCAGGTGCATACCCTTCGTCAGACTGTGGGAAAACTAGTACCCCATGGCGGACGTGCCGAAAAAGGTTCATCCTGCTCGTCAGCTCACAAGACGAATTCAAATAGAAACTAACTCAGCTACACAACCGGATCGCGCCGTCGATGTTGTCACACTTTTGTGCGGTGCCGATGGCGAGTGCTGCCGACACACCGAGATATCAGATTCGCCAAGACAGCACGGATGGTTGTCTCGGCTCCGTGGACGGGTTTACACGACTGTAGATCGCGGAAGTCATCCCTCCGAATTCAGAGGGGAAAACCCTGAGGCTTTACACTTCCAGCAGTTCCAACTACTCAAAAGCTGTCGGCGTCAATGCCATCAGATTTTCGCGGAGTAACGTGCATTTCCTAGAAACGTATTTGTAGAACCCGTGCAAACATTTTGTTAAAGCATACTCCTCACACAATCCTCTCATGAGTAAAGTTAAACTTATCTTGATCATTTTGATAAACCCGCTGAGCAACTGACTGTCGTGTCTGCAACGCCTCTGAAACCCCGCAGAGCTCCCCGTTACCAAGCCTAATTAATCATAATGGACACATAATGCATGTACAACATATTATGTGCTCCCCGGGTTGATTACAATGACCAAGACAAGTTTAATTTGATGATGGTAGCGTAAGGAACAAAAACAATTTGTCGCATTGTTTCAAAAAATTCAGCACGACTCTCACTTCCTGTTTTGCTGTGCGCATCTTTTTTCTGACGTAACAGCGGAATTCTCAGAGCGAAAGTTGCTGGCAAGCCACAGCTGTCAAAAGTACTACGTCTATTTTGCGTAGACATTTGTTCCAAAGAGTAAACAACAAATAAAAACTGCAACAAAGTACTAAAATATATTGTCGTACCGTTGTGTTAGAACGTACGTAGTATAATAGTCAGCAATCAGCATATTCAAACATAAAGCGTATTAATTTGTCGTAGACGGAAGCCGGGGGAACAGGTGAGTAAGTGGTTACCACTGTCTGTATGTTTACCTCAAAGCAGCAGAAAATGCAGCTTCGAAGAGTACGACCATTTTATCTTGACATATGTTCCAAACAATTATTGGTAAAATGAATACTGTGTACGTATGAGGGAACCTGTTACTGTAATGATGTATCAGGACATAAATTTCATATAATTTTATGATCAAGATATAGAAATATAAATTTAATCGAAATGTGCTGGACGCGGTCGTTTACTGCCTTAGAACTAAGTGATTGCTCATGACTGCATGTAGTGCACAACGCACGTATTTTGTGGTCGGCTTATTATGAAATTATGATAATATTCTCACGAATATTACAACGGTTTAGGGCGAGAGAAAAGTCAGAGCTGAATGGAAGAGGACGAACATGAAGCTTTCTCATTCTATATTTGTTTGTATGCTGCGGTCATAGGGGGACTTTTATATACAAAAAAAAAATAATTGAAAGATTGGCTTGAAGGCCAACGAGCCAGCCGAGAAGCGCTCTTGTAGTCATTCTTTCAGCCGTTTCTTTTTTTCGCCCTCTATTCTTGTCATTTTCGGGCAATCATAACCCCTCTTTCTGGCATAAGGGAGAATACATTGAGTGGTTCGCATTATACCTGCATTTAGGTCAAATATTTCGAATCAATATCATACGTGACTGAGTAATCGCGCGTATGGTTGTGCCTGTAAAATTCAAAAAGAAAAAAAAATTAAGGAGGCGACCATTGGTTAGGTGCGCGATACACATCACAACTTCCGCTAAAGGGCTCGTAATTTTATGTATTGTTTTTGGGACAGTTGCCCATACTAGACTGCTGTGTATAATATTGAAATATTCAAATCATTTTAAAGATTACAAATTCAGAGTTAGCATTTCGTAACCGTAATATTCGCTACTTCAAGAATCTTACCAAGCACAAATAATGTTTTTTTTTTTTTTTAGTTTTCTTTTTTTTTCAGATTTGAGGAAGCTGAATTTTTTTGGTAGGTGTACATCAGTGAGCACAACCAGGTTGAAGATACTTCCTATGAGCATAGATTTATATTTTTTGTTCATATTTTAGTTTATATTCTTTATGCAAACCCAATTGGTCACTGACCAATTGGGTTTGCATTAATTTGACCGATTGGTGCAAACCCAATTGGTTACTGAGGCTGTTTTTTTTCTGCACGGATGATTTCCTCGGCTTTAATGTATGCAAACTAAAAGGTTTATTGTTATTTTAACACTTTCTTATAGTTGCGACAAACGGTGCACGCAAGTGCGTTATAGTTGTCTGATTCACACGCCAAAAAACGAACAGAAAAATAAAAGAAGAGAAAAAACGCGGTCGGGTGTAGCCGCGTGATTTCCGGCCATGAGCTTCCGTGCTCGTGCTTCGGTTTCGAGCAGTTGAGTTTTATGGCTTTATTAAACATGTACGCGACTCTGAAACAAAATATTATTGGGCAGTCTCCTGACACCATATTAAATCGCTTGGCAAAAAAAAAAAATCACAAAAAAAATATTTGAGAAAAAAGGGGGGGGGGTGTTAATGGATGTCGGGTCATAGAAACATTTTTTTATTTTTTTTTTTTACTTTTTGTTTATGCAGGTAGCGTGAAGTTCTCAAGCTTTCGCGTTCTATCTCAACCGCTAGCGTCGCATTCTTACTCAGTTTCAATTTCTTTCCTCAAATTCATAGTTTATTCACGCGGGTCGAAAAACATGTTTTTTCTTCTTCTCAGGAACACACACTACTATCAATAAATAAATAAATAAATAAATAAATAAATAAATAACCACCTTGTGACGTAATTGCTTTCAAAATTCACCAGATCCGTTGTATAACAAAGGAAAGGGGATCATGTTAGTTTGTGTCAGCTAACAAATGCGGCGACGCACAAGCTTTTTAGACACCTGTAGTTGTTGGAAATGTAAGTTTTCGACAAATGTGAGGTTTTTTCACGTTGACTTAGGTATGTAATTTTGCCACTACTCCAGGCACGGAATACTTGGACGTCTACTCGTTTTGTTGCGAGCGTTTTTAATTTATAAGTTATTCAATTGTTTAAATTATTTAATTGTAAGTTATTCAATTCAAGTATTCAAAGCATTGGTACTCTTTTTAGATTGATATGCTTGCTTGATTAAATTGTTTTCCTTTTTTTTTTTGCTTTCCATTTGATGCAGATGACAAGTGATATGAGTACATATGGAGTTCTGTGGTTTACGTTAAAACTTCTTTTTGTGGTCAGCGCCGTGTGTAAGTGTTTTTGTTTGCCATTTTTATAGGAAATATATACATTTTAGTCATTCAGTTATAATACGAGATTTGATCACTTGATTGATGCTCGCATTCTGTTCAATTGTCCACTTGTACATGTTAATTTACGTTTGAGCTATGTTTAGATACAATAAAAGACGAAACAAAAAACAGAAGACACAAATCATTCTTGCATTTTATTCAGAACTTGACTGAAGCGATTAATAAGTTACCAGACAAAATGTTATTGCGGTATATATTATCTGGAAAAATAACATAATTACTCAAAACGGTATTTAGAATTTCTAGTAATTTTCTGCATAAAGTGCATATTTTAAGACAAGTGTGGTGACTGGATATACGAATTTTTCATGGAGCGCAGATGACAATATTCCTGCTAACATTGAGAGACAGGCATGGCGCATTAAAGAATACTGAAAGCGCCACTGAACAAGGACAAAAAATAAGCAGTGATAGAGTGCAGGTGAGCTGGTAATTAATCGACATCTTGTAAACCCTGAGATGGGGAACGATAAAAAAAAAAAAAAACGGACGAACAGAACGAAATCTCAAGATTTTGTTGTGTTCGTCCGTTTTTTTTTTATCGTTCCGCATCTCAGGATTTACAAGATGTCGAAGAAATAAGACTATCAGTGCGCTACTAGGACTTGAACCTTCATGTGAAAAACACAAACATATAGTCACAAATGACAGATGATAAAGCAGGCGAAAACGGAAAGAACTAACGATTTAATGGGGGCGAACTTGTGGCAGGAACGAAAAAAAAACCAAAAAAAAACCTTTTAGCCTTTCCTCTCTGGTGAGGAAGGAAGACCAGCGAAGCTGTACTATGGCGGGAATGAAGTAATGGCCGGCCGCAAGTCGGCAAGCCAGAGTGGACAGGCTTGGAAGGTTGCGCCATCTATGAGCGACGGTGACAAGCGGACAACCGGCAAATACAACACTCTGGACAGCTACCACCATCTACGAGCGACGGCGGCAACCTGAGTTTTGTGTCGACACTTCTTTGCGGGGAACACGATCCTGGGAAAACTAACCCTTAACAGCTCCTCAGCAGAAGACAAGAACACACGCCGAGAAAGCAGCAGCGAGCGTCGACGGCGGCAGCAGCAAGCGGCGCTGCTTCGGCGTAACAGCCGGCTATCGCGAGAGTGAATCAGCAAATGAATCAGCAATACGGCGCCCGGCTCTTTGTCTACTATGCTCCTCATTTCGAATATTCGACTTAGCAATGTGCGGGAAAGAGCTAGGGCGGACCGACTAGGCAAGGTCATTCTGGCCTCCTTATCGTTTACGCTCGGGGTAAGTGTGTACGCGAATCTTCTAGACGAACGGAGAAGCGTATCTTCTCGATCTTGCACGCGGCAATATATTTGTTGTTCATGATGACGCTTTCCAATTTCTTGTGCGATACCTGTAAAGCCAAAGGGCTGATGCATTTCATTTTGCTAGCAAATTTGATATTAGTCTAAACTCTTTTTTCAGTTCTGTTTTTATGCTTTCCTAGCTTCTTCGCTCTGTCCAGCCCTGGCTTGCAAATTCACCTCTGAGAATACACGCCAAGTGTCCTGACGGTGCCGGAATCACTGATATATCATGCTCTTTTGCCCTTTTATTCAGCGCCTGCTCGTTTGCCCATTTTACTTTTTGGGCAAACAGTCAGTGATAGGAATTTTGTTGTTGTTAACTTTGTAAGCCAACAGAAATCATAAACAGAAAGTCAGGGCACAAACGAACTGGTGGTGAATACTAGACACAACTAAACCCCGAGGCTGCGTTTGAGACCTTGCGTGTTTGTGTCATTGTTGCTTTTTGGAGACTCGGGATGGAGGTCCAGGAAACATTACGCAAGAGTGTATTCATGTTAGAATGGTTTTGGGACATTTTTAATTGGACTTTGAAGGAAATATAGAATAAAGAGCGGTCATAATTCGACACTATGTGAGACCTTCGGCCTGTTGCGGCAGCTTGAGGTACGCGCGTGATACACAAGAACGTGAACGTTGTTTCGAAAATTCAAACAAGTGTTTCAAAATGTTTGTTACGCAAATTAAATAAGTGCTTGGAGGATGTAGCTCCAGAACTGGCTTATTTGTCAGACTAAAGTTCAAGAATTTAGACTTCTAAAGCACCATAAAAACCTTGGCTTTGATACCTATTGAAATTGTTTTTCTTGCGGCAAATGACCGCTTTTGACGTGGTCAGTAAAAATAAAAACAATAAAAACATATCACTCAAGCGACTGGGCGCAGCGCAAAGATCCCTCAGATATTTCCAAAACGAGCTTACTTAGGGGTTTTAGATAACGCCTAAACCTTAGTTTGTTAAATATTGCGAAGTTAGTTGCAAACGTGTACGAAAGAACTTCATTATTTAAAATGAGCCGGACCTTCAGCAGAAACCTATAGGTTATAATATTTTTTCTTTCTGTGTGGTGTTTAGTTTTAGCAAATATTGTCGGACTTTTTGTGAAACATATCTACAATCGTTTCCCCGAAAACTGAATAAAAAACAATGAATAAAATAGGTCGTCAGAAAAGTGATTATAGCGGAATAATGCCATTTATCTTGGGAGACGTCAGGCCACTATACTCGTTTTCACCTCAGTGAAAAAAAGTAAGTTTTACGCATTGTTCATATGCCGCGCGAAGTAGTTCTTACAAGATTTGGTTGTCGGAGGAAGAAGCGGTACCTTTGACATTTGATACGTGTAAGTTTTGATAAGATAACATTTTATCTAAAATTCCGTGTTTTCAGATTTTTTTTTTTCAAATTGTGGGGTATTTTTTTACGAGTTGTTTCCCACCTATTCGGTGTTTTTTGTGTGAATTGGTTACAACTTAAACCAATCTACACAAAAAAAACACAGAATTTACAGAAATAATACCCCCCCCCCCCCCCCCAGAAAAAAAAAAAAAAATCCCCAAATTCGAAAGAAAAAAAAAAAAATGAACAACGAAAACACGGGACCCTACATATGTCTAATGAAGAATGAACCTACATATATCTTAATTTTCTACGTAAAGGGGAAAATGAGTAATGCTCCACAGGGAGCCAGGCATTTTCACTGCGGTTTTCAAGGTGGAAACGAGCATAGTAGTGATATTATTAATGTACGTACTTGAAGCGTATTAACGTCTCTTTAAAATGTTCGCCCTAGCCGGCACGTTAAAATGAGAGGATTGTTTGCCGTTCGCGAAATACGCCATAGCTCTTGTTAAAAAATCAGATAACTAAACTCGGCTCCCCATTATTTTCGGGTAAATGTCTGTACGTAAAAAAAATGGAGATACCGAAATTATAACCCAAGGGAGCAACAGAAGTCCCGTTCAAAAGTGACGTCTGCCTCCCTGGTGGGCGCGGGTAGCGAGCCATGGCGTGCCAATCTGACAGCGTCGCATTATCTAATAGCCCTTTCCCTGACAAATAGCAAGTGCTCACAAATTTGAGACTCAAAGTTTCTGGTCTCGGTGGTGGAGCGACCGACTGACGGCTCTGAAGGGAACACAGGGCAGCAGACGGAGCTACTTTGCTCGCTGGTATTTCCGGTGCGCGGCCGCCATGGCCGCGACCGCCGCTAATGCGGCGGTGTTCCGGCTGTTCTTTCCACTAGCGCCGCCCCCTGATGCCTCGCAAGCCCCGCATACAGCACGAAAGTCGTCTTGCTGGACAAGAACAGCTTGTATTTACTGCCTTAGCTTATAATGCACTATGAGGCAATCGATCGACCTACCCTTCCCGGGGAATAATAAAGATAGCCCAAGTATTAGTGACTTGTTACACAACTTGATCGCTACTCCGCCTGGTTTGCGGAAACTTCGGCACCTCTGCACCGCGCCGTGTCGCTTCACCGACCTTTTGAACAGCTCGTAAGGAAGCTTGTAGCATAATGACAAATACAGAGCGCAAAAGGACAAAAAGGGAAAAAACACACCGGACAGAAAAGAGCGCTGTGTCATTATGTATAACAAAAACCGACCCGGCCTGGAGCCCTAAACGGTTGGGTTTGGATGTTTCTTCCGTCCCGCAACTTCTTCCGCAGCACCGAAGACAGCGGGCACGACCTTTACGTTCACTGAATGCGTCGAAAGGCCTCCGCGTGCGATGCACCAGAAAATTCTGTCGATTTTCATGTTCCTTGTCGCGTTACCAGAAATTTTACTGTCTTTTATACTAAATTTATGTCTAAACTCTCACCACTGTCCCGTATGCAAATTTCATTTAATACAATCGCATCGTCTAACTTGGACATCTTCACAGATCTCGTAGTTTTTCGCCGGAACTTGGGAAGTCTAGTTAAAAGTTGATACTATTACATTTTGTGTGAAGTGTGCGACGTATTTGTTGTCATGCTAATTTGCACATTTTAAGCTGTGCGTGTGCTGTGCTTCTTCTTTTGTTTTGTGTGCGCCAATATGAAGACCCGCGTGGTTGTTTTTGGGCACATTAAATAAACCAATTATTATTATTATTAAAACGTGGTGCGGCTGGTTCCGGAAGTGCATAACTTCGAGCTTTGACACGGCGTGGCGCCACCTTCGTGTAGGGCTTGGTGCGCATTCACGTAAACGTTGCCGCGTCGGCTTCGTTCGAAGAACGAGTGGAGTCGATGCGTTGAAGTCGCTTTCATGTAAACGAGGCTACTGATGGCTCTAGAGAGAGAACTTCACCGGAACGCCGCGCGTCCCCCATTTACGTCACAGCGCACGTGACTCGGAAGATGGTGAAGGAGCTGAGAGGTGCCGAAAACCTCAATCTTTGTCCATTTTTAAAATAAAAACTAAGACATGCGGGCAAAAACGTTTTTTTCTTTATTTCTGAAAGGCTAAGACACCAACTCCCAAATTATTTAAGAAAAGCACTGAAATTGTTGCACAGCTCCTTTAACGAAACGAATGATCCGTAGTCCGCACAGGCTGGAGATTTGCTCAAAGTCGAGGATTGCGACATAGAGGCCAACGTCGTTGGTGGATCGATGGCAGACTGGGCTAGCGCACACCAGCTCGGAGCACGTGGAGCGAAAGCTCACGCTGCAGAACGCAGGGATCCTAAGTTCAATCCCTGCCCTTTTTGGATCTGGATGAGCATCGTACCGGCGTGCGGTCGTGTATCACTACTGCGTGATGCACGTTAAAAACCCCAGGTTAGCGGTTGTACCGCACTGGTTAAATTGCTCGTCTACAGCTATGACACCAGGCACCCACTGAGGCGGACTAACTTCCGGCTGTATAAACATATACACGACAATTTTGGTGAACATAATCTAGCCCGTAGATCGGCGGCAAACAGCCCGTGGCCCGAGCCAACCCCGCGCGCCGATGTGCATGGGCAGCTGGAAGCATGCAACAAGCTTTTTCCGAAAAAATTCTGCGCAATCTATGAGAGAAAGGCTACAAACAAATCGCGGGTGAATCTCCCATAAGCAAAACGGATGTTGGCAGTTGCCACTGCTTTTCATGATTAAAATAAGATCAACGCGGAAGAGGCAGATTTTTATCAGCGGTATACCAGTCGCATATATGGGCTCGGGTTGAGCTACATTTCAGGTGCGGGTCACTGTTTTCTTGTCTTAAAATATATGTGTACTTTCCGTTTTGACAAGAACAACAGCGTCTTGATGGTTATTTTGCTTTAGAATTTTAACGATAAATACTTAATTTACCGCACGTTTCTGTCTTGTTTGTTAAACGTAATCGCAGGTGATTATTGTTTCCGCAAACTTATGATTCTTCCGTTTCGTTTTTAAATTTTAACAGCTCAATACCTTGTGCTTACACGTTTAAGACAACCTTATTGATTTTCGGGTATTTTTATTCGCAAAGAAAGCACACAGTAATACAGGTATTTATGTCATGATTTGATAGAAGTTTTGGGGGAATTATGTTTTTGCAGACATAAATTCACCAATGTTGGCGTTCTCTACTTTTCTTTTGATTACAGCATGTTTATACTTTAGGCATGCTGCATATACTAACCGAAATGTATACCTTACACATTTCGCAGATGGCACCACCGAAAAAATGACCATTGACGACTATGTTGACAAAATAATCAATTTGGCGTACTCCAATATCGAGAAAAATATTCCGGATACCAAACCAGTAATGTTTCGCAACGAGGAAATATTTTTGGATGACTCACCAAACCCCACTGTTATCCACGAATTTTCTCTTGGAACAATTTCAGGCCTTGGAACCTTATTTAATCGCACAGGAAAATGCAATGTTATGATAAGAAAAGGCAAAACTACCATAAACTGCAAAGTAGAATTTCGAGGTTTGACGGCAACACTCCCTAAAACTAGTAATGACGGGAGTAGGTGTATACTTCTCATTAATGCCACAGGTAACCTATTTTTGTCTTGGCCTAAAGGTAAGTGATTGATTAAAAAGTATTTGCAATCGAACAATAATCGTGCAAAGATACGAAGTTAGGTATGCGGTGTGTTGTGACGTCGGCACCATGTACTGAATGTATTAAATTAGAAACACAAAATACGGAAAATGGCTTTCGATTTAATGCAATGCAAAACTTTACGATTATTCCAGTGAGAAAATAGGATATAATCACAGTGGACGATGGAAGAAACTTTTCCTAGAGGCTTCACACGAGAAACCGTCGTTTCGTCAAAAGACGAACCTTCATGGATATCCAGATAATTATACTAACAGTTATCATAACACATGGAAGAAGGGGTTGGTAATGTAGTAAACGATAATGTGGAAAAAGTACAGGAGCATCGCGAAAAAAAAAAATGTGTAGACTACCAAGGATTGTTTTGAGAAAGAGTACCTTATAATTTATTTTATTTTTATTATCAGTCCCCTGTATTTCCTTCACTCACAACCTAACCACTTGTCCTTTTATTAATGACATATTTTAAAAACAACAATCATTGTTTTTATATTTATGACCTCTGTTGTCAACAAAGTATTGTCGACATATGAATGATAAAAAGGGAAGAGTTAGAATGGTATTTTCTACGCGAACAGCAGGGGGCATGTATGTAAATGAATCTTATTTTCGTGCGTTCGGGGTTGCAAGAAGTCACGTTTGCGGTCCCCCCAACTCAAGCTCGTTGGGTCCCCCACGGCTTCGTGTTCGTTTTTTGAGTTTGCGCATACAAGTTTACTCATGAGCTTGTTTTGGCCAGAGTAACTTCGTGTATCTATATGAGAGCGTTCCAAAGTCAAGACCTATGGAGTTTTAGACATGTTGATGTATCTGCACTCATAAGCGACTTTAGGGTGCGTTCTGCGTCACCAGTAATCCTTCTCTCCGGAGTCTAGTAAAAAGTGATGGATGCAAGATATCTCAGATGTATCATTAGTTGTAGTGTTTTTGACACAATCGCATCATTAAGCTAACCACGACAAAAGTTTCCGCTTAATAAAAATGTATCTGGTTGCTGAAAAGCCATGCGACGTTTACAAAATGCCGAAGGTTACAATAAAAGTGCGGTTCTTTCAAGGTTTTTTCACACCCAGTCTCATGTGTTTTAACATGATGGCAACATTAAGCAGTCGTAACAGTTATCTTCGCTTACACAGGGAACACAACAATATGTATTTAGCGAAGCCTTGGCTATTATTTTGAAGATTTTATGGAAGTATTTAATATCTTCGGAAAAAAATTAATGTATTGAGTCAGATTTGATTTTATATGAATAAAATAAGGTTGACATAAAAAAAACTACAACGAGAAAGAACTTAGAAGGCATGTCTTCCAAAACAGCAACCTTGCAGTCAATATAGTGAAAAAAAAAAAGCTATTTGACGGGAGAAGATTAACTGCTGCCACTGCCGCCGTCAAGTCTTGGAATATTGTTTGTATGTATAATTTTGTGTTTAAAGTAAGGCGCTTAGATAAACCGCTGTACGAGGGGGGACCCAAAAGTAACCGGAATGAATTTCTGGAGGGCGGGCCGTGCGTAGTACCAGCTTCCACCACCAGCAGCGCTTAGCGGCACCCTTTTTCAGAGCCGTTTATGTAGAAAGTTTGGTCATTAATTGGTAAAAATAGGGAGAAAATACGTGCACCTCATTGACTGAAATTGTTTCAATGACCTTGGACACGATAATTGAAAGCTCTTGGGACCAACTACTAGCCACAACTATTCCCCTAGCGGAGGCTATGAGCTTAACAAATACCCTGCAATCACAATTTCTAAGTAAGGATGTATTCAAGTATTTTATTTCAGCATGCTTCACTTTTAGCAAGTCCCGTGAATTTGGTTATTATTTTGGGTAAAAAAAAAATGAAAGCCGTTTACAACTCCCTGTAACACCGAATTGGAGCGCAGCTCTTGAGGAGGAGGGTGGAAGGGTACTGAAGGTCACCTTTTCTCGGGGAGGGGGGTGTCGCTCGCGTGACCTCGGGGGGGGGGGGGGGTCACGTGACGCCTTAGAAAAAATTTTCCGCTAGATTTAGCAGGGAATTTTTTCCGCTATATTTAGCGGGGAAATTTTTTCCGCTAGGTTTAACGGGAAAAGTTTTCCGCTAGACAGCGGGGAATTTTTTCCGCTAAATCTAGCGGCGAAAATTTTCCGCTAGATTTAGCGCGGAATTTTTTCCACTAGATTTAGCGGAGAATTTCTTCCGCTCGATTTAGCGGGAAAATTTTTCCGCTAGATGTAACGGGGAATTTTTCCGATAGATTTAGCGGGGAAATTTTTCCGCTAGATTTAGCGGAGAAATTTGTCCGCTAGATTTAGCGGGGAAATTTTTCCGCTAGATTTAGCGGGAAAATTTTTCCCGCCAGATTTAGCAGGAAAATATTTCCGCTAGATTTAGCGGGGAAATTTTTCCGCTAGATTTAGCGGGGAAGTTTTTCCGCTAGATTTAGCGGGAAAATTTACCCATAATGCACCGCGCGGTTACGCCGACGGCGACGCCGACGCCGCTCAAGCCGGAAACGGGCCCCTAAGAGCTGCGCTCTAACACGTTATTTACACAAATTAGCATAAATTTACACGCTGTGTAATGGATAATTTGTTCAAAAATTATGCGAGGTTGTAAAAAAAAACGTGTTTTGATGTGGTCTTATAAGCATAGCCTTGTAGCCGACCTGGGAAGCACGCATCGCCACCGACACGGCGACCGCCATGTTGATTTTGATTCGGTCGGTGAGGCGCAGTGAAACAGGTCTTAGATTAGACGAGACGCGGCGTCGATGGCTGATTACTTCATGCCTATCGGGTCTCAGTAATATGAGGCTTCTTCTTGCCGCTGGTATGATCGACCACCCAGACCGCAGCGCAGCCAGTCCGCCAACGGCGACCAGACGGCTGGGTTCGGCTCCTGGCATCGCCGAACGTGTCGACCATCATGGGTGAAAACCCATCCCACACCGCGATCACCCGTGGACGCGTTCCCCAGAGAAGGAAGGAACGGAAGTTAAGAAGAAATGAACAGGTCACGTTTCTCCTTGTTCAGTTGGCGCAGAGATAGAACATCGCACTACCGACGAAGTAGGCGAAAGCTCGATCCCTGGGAGGAGCGGAGTGTTTTTTGTTTCGTTAAGTTTTTTTTTTTTTTAAGTTATTAATACGAAAATAAACAAGCAGAGACCGATGGAAAAAAAAAATTAATAACCTTGTTATCCACTGACGTCCACGAAAGCTATACAAATGCCATTGCTACAAACTTCATCAGCACACTGTTTGATAAACAGGATTTAGGCAAAAAGTTTGAATCTATAGATTCAAACTTTTTGCCTCTGCGTAAACGGCCTATAGGCCGTTTACGCAGAGGCTAAGACGACGAGCTCGGTCCTTCAGTCGTTTCTTTTGCCGTAGCGTTTTCGACATTCATAAAGAAAAAGAGTAAAAACATCCGTCATAAACAGCTACGCGTCGAAACGATGCCGACACTGCTACGCACACTGGGCTTGGATGGCGGCTGCGATCAGCTGCGATAGCAACGGGCTTCGGGCCTCGCCCACTTCGGCCACATATCGTGCCTCGGCTGCCTCGACTACCGGGCCCTGACACTGGCTGCGATCACTGCAACCAACGATGCAAAGGCTATAAACGCTGCGACGCTACGAGGACTGTGAGCGAGTTGTGGCTATTTGAGGTCCCTTGTTCTCGCGACCGTTGTGCAGCGACTGTGATGTGTGGTTTATCTGCGCGCCTTCCGTGCAACGTTCGGTGTTGTCATACCCCTTTCCGTTTTCCAACCGACCATCACTTTAATTCTGTTTCCGGAGCTGCAGATGGCCATGTTGCTGTTGTGAAGACGCGAACGGTCGCCGACGTTCTCTGTGTGTATGGGTGCCTGTTCGTTCTTATTACTCCTTATCGTGTCAACCGACCATTACAATAATTTTGTGTTTCCGAAGCTGCAGATGGCAGTGCTACTGTTGTGAACGAAGGCGCGAAGGTTCTCTGACGTCCCATGTATGCAAGGGCGCCCGGAGGTGTGGGTGCAAGGAAGGTGGGAGGAAGTCATAGAGTTCTACTTCTGGGAAAGACGCAAAAAAGCAAGAGGGTCTTCTCTACTTGTCCAGCCCCTCTCCTCCTTCCGGGAATATTTCTGCGGGCGCTCATGCCTGTCTGTCGTGGTATCCGGCCAACTTGTTGAAAGCCAGTTGGTCAAAGGGCAATTTGTCCATAGACAACATTTAAAATAGGACACTCTTTCATGGGCCAATTCGCAGATCCCAACTCGTCGAAGACCAGTCTGTCTAGTAGGCTTGAGAGGATTTAAGAGGAGCCCCCTTATTATTGTTGTTTCTTGCTCTACATATTTTGCCCTCAATGTTATTTTGTTCCCTTTGCATATCCAAGTACAAGATACTATCGGGATAATGATGAAATGCGAATGGCGGAATATGTTGTTTTTGATATACACTGCGTTACCTGGCGGCTCTCTGGGAACTTATGGAAACGTGCGTTAGGAGCGAGGATACGACTCCTGCCAATACTCTTATCTACTGGGGAGGGCTAGACCAGAGGTGCACAATTAAAAAATTAGCCGGTCCAAAATTGTTTATTAAAAGCCGTGCAGGGCCGCACCTACTGCGACATGCTGCACACTACGGCTTGCGGTCAAGCTTCCGATATCCGGTGCCATCGCACTCGTTTCCGTCTTTAGCACATCTCAGTATGTCATGCCCGTCATGACAGATCGAAGGCGGTTCTTGTTCAGAGTCATCAGTCATTAGCTTGCATGCTATAGCATGCGAGCGGTTCGAGCAGTTGAAAGCTTGATGATACGAGTACATCCAAGACTCGAGAGCCGCTGCCTGTCCGTGTCAAATGAGACTGCGAAATCCGCATAGATGCGACTTCCTTGACGATTATTTGTCTGTGCGCCTAATGTACTGCATTATTGCCAAGTGCGTCAACCGTTGATCGCCCTGTTTTTGT